GCTCATGTTCTCTTGTTCTCATCACAAACAAAATTCCTAACATATTAATGTATAAAATTACATAGTATGTCTTGATGCCCCCTTAATATACTGGAGAGCTTCCTTCTCTTTGAAGCAATATTGTAACGTGGTTGAGCCAGGCTATCTCCAAATAAAACTCAAGACAGTTCCAATTAATAGAAGCGTATTTACAAAAGAAAGAATTATATAATTACTTAAGCACACTCACATTCGCACACACTTGCACACTGTTCTATTTCACATATACAGTGTACTTATGCAAGAAAAATCAATAAACCTTATCATTTGACAGACAGACAGACTAAATGTTACTTTCTTTATATAATTTCTTATAATAATTTAAATTGTTGCCCGTAAATGTTCACTTGTACAGCTCTATGTATCTAGGTTTGCCACAATCACAAGAGCTCTAAATTCTAATTCCTTTTAGATCGACTTATCTAAATTGAAATACATCAACAGTTTCAGCATAGGTTCACGATCAATCGTCCCATCGCTTCTGGGGCTGTGGTCCCGGAACTTATGGACAGGAGATGATCACCCTTAAAAACTTGTTTTTGTTCCATTTGGAATCCTGTTCTCACTCAGCTACGTACTTCACCAATGTCATAACGCTAAAATTTAGAGGACTCATACGTTTTCCAATTAGGCAACATATTATAATGGCAACACTAAATGAAATTAAATTTAGATAAAGTATAAATGGTACATGTCTTTCAAAATAATTCAGCAAACAAGTTGAGATATAAAGCTTTCATTGTATTGTACATTCAAAAACAACATGGCGACAACTTCCGGTTATTCACTTCCGCCCAATACAATTAAAAAAAAGCCTACGACCGTAAAGCTAGCCTGACAAACAAGTGATTGTCACAAATATTATACGATGGCTGAAGTAGGGCATGGGACACGATTTTTTTCCATTAGTTCGTAGCCACGAGGGAGCTAAAAATTTCAGTTTGTTTTTTAAATTCATATTATTTTGATATATAATCTAAACATAAGACCATTGATATATATTCTGATCTTTTCAGAAAATTCTTTAAGCAAGTCACATTACGCAACTGATTACGTCATAGCCTTTGTTAATGTAGATTATAAATATTGTTTTTAAATCATCTGAATTTGTGCAATATTTGTACAACTTGTTATGCTTAATATTGAGTATAAAAATGTATAAAAGTTTATTACGATCATGTCAATATTCACTTCCGAAGTTATGATATAAAAACTCACACTTCTGTTTCTTTACGTTGTGTATCTTACAATTAGTGACGTCATAATATAATATCTGTTAGTGTAGGGAACTCAAGTACACATTTTTGCATAAAAGAGTCATGGTCAGTGCAGAGTGAGGGATATTCTGAAGTACGAGGGGTGATCAAAAAGTTCGCGAACTATCTCTATATTTACAAAACCACAATTCACATCAGAATGAAATTTGGCACACATATAGTCATGCACAAATTCTATAAATAGAGGTGTTATATAATGTTTTGATCCGTGTTTGTGACGTCACAGTGTGAAAATGACGTCATTATGTAGGTGACTTGTGACAGAAAATGGTTGACTCAGTGGTACTCGAGCAACGAACGGCTGTTAAGTTTAACGTATATCTTGGAAATTCCTTTGCAGTAGAATATGATAATTTGTACAAGTTTTATCAAGACAAAAGACTTACCAGAAGTTCAATCATTAATGGAATTGATTGTTTTAGTGAAGGCAGGGAGATGGTTAAAAATAATGTTTGTTTTGTTGCCCAGATGTGGCCTTAGTTGAGCAATTTGTTATGAAAGATGGCCAAGTTACAATTAGAAATTTAAAATAGTTGAATTTCTTAGCAATAATATACTTATTAAATCCCTAAAATATCGTTTACTTCAGACTTTAAACATATGAGATATGATAAAAAGAGGTCGCCCATACTTTATCCACATCGGATAAACGATGCTCCCAAGACAGAGGACTCGGGTTTTGATCACCATGCTAATTCTGGGAAGGGATGTCCTTATCCACCCATCCTGTTGCCGAGATTTGGCCATTTCTGACGGATGGACTGTTCTTGTTATAAAAAATAACTTGCATGGTAAGACATATAAGACTCAGAAAAATCTTTTAGCTTCTGTGAACAGAACGCCACGGAGCATGTCACGTGACCGCCTGGATCACGTGATTCGCGCATGGGCAGAACAATGGCAGTTGTGCATTATAATTGGAGAGGACTACTTTAAAAAAATAATGAGCACTGAAACCTCATTTTATTTTTTTGAAGGAAGTAGTTTAATTAGTTCGCGAACTTTTTGATCACCACTCGTATAATTTGTGCGTGCTTTTTAACAGCTTCTCTGTATATTTTACATTTCACTTGTTAAGTTCTCATATGACTTCACATTGTTGCTTTCCCGCAGTCGGAAAATGCAATCATGAAACGTTTTTATCTCTCGTATGTCTTGTTCAACTATTTTTCAATGCAGTATTTGGGTAAGTTTCACTTTTTGACATTGCTACAAATAATTATCGAAATGTAGTTTAGTCATAAACTTTAAAATATTAATTGAATTATTTACCAAATGATTTTTTTTGTCTTGAAAAGTGCAAAAAACTTTTGATGTTTACATTTTCCGGCTACGGGAAAAAACAACTACTTGCTTGACAAATTACTGTCTAAAAGATTATTTGGGATCAGTACTAACTTTAACTGAATATTTCTAAAAATAAATCTTACAAATATATTGACCGATCAAAAAAAGGCTTTCCCAAAGAAATTCAAGTCGAATGTAAACTTCCACCCCCTCCCTCCCACCTTTAGAGATTTCCCGAATTGTTGAAGCAGTAGATCGAGATTGACGAGAGATTTTCAATATTTGCAAGTGTGATGCGCCCTTCTGGTTGCACTGACCGTAAGTTGAAACCTCGAAAGACTGACCACAGAAAGAATATGGATGCAGGGAATTTATTTCACGGAGTTTCAGACGAAAATACAAGTTGATGTGACCGACCTAGAAAATTCAAGATGGCGTCGATGTGTACCTTGTGTATTATTAGGTAGGGGGTATATTTTTATGAAAAATAAGCAACGTCAGGTGCCTGTTCCTTAGATTATCCTCCAGTGTGCCTACATACAAGTTTTCGTTAATTGGGAAATGCACCGTAACAATATGAGCAAATTTGATAAGAGGGACATTGCACCCAAATTAATGGCCTCTTAAACATCTGCAAATAACAAAAATCACTGAATACTAACTGCGTTGAGTTTTACGGAATGACGTCATATCGACAAGTGCAGTGCGATCGGTGACTTGTTTAAACCTTGCTATGTGCGATTAAACTAACGACATGTTATAATACGTTTTGATGTAGTTTAACTTTCTTCTACAGTTTAAAATCTCAAATCACTTCATTTTGTGGTATTTTTAAGGATTGTGAGTTTCGTGTGATATCAAAATTGATATTTCCCGTAAGAATTAGAGCCCCCTTCCTTTTTGTACTCAGCTACGTTAAGGAAGGCCCGAGTTCACATTTGTGATGCACTGTATGGGAAGTTTCATTGTGACGTCATTAAAAATTTCACAAGCGACAAAAATCTATTTAACTACATGATAATGCGTAAATGAAAACTTGCATTCATTTATTTTATCAATTATTCATAAAAGAATGTAAAATCACAACATTTGATAACAATACTGCCGAGTAATTAGAAGCAAATCTTATGTCAGAAATGACGTCACTAGCATTGACTTGACGCAGTACAAGTGATCCAGAGGAGTGGATTCATTGGTTTAATAATTACAAAAATGCTTAAATAAATATAAAACCATCGCAAATGTTTAAATCCAATCAATAAAATTGAAAGTCAATAATTTATTTAAAACACATATGTAGATTATTATTTTATCTAGGTGCTATAGAGCTGCACAACGACAAAGAATGTAAAGAAAATCGCTAACACGATAATTATATTCCTAATTAACCTCAAAAGTGCAAGGGCATAGACTACACTGTTTGAGCTGAAATACGGAATATCAATTGCTTATATCATCATGTATATTTTAAAAAGTGCTGGGAGGTGATTATGGTCGGCGTAGCATTATTTTTATTCATGTCAGAATTAAAGCAAAGTAGGAATTTTTAGCTATTGAACGCATTTTCGGCAAAATAACGAACATTTCCGAAGCAGTTCAATTTAGCTCCCAGCACTTTTCGGGTAGCCAATGTAAATCTTTTTTAATGTGTAACAATTTTTCTCTCCAAAAACATGCGTATGCCCTTGCACTAGCGTCATTTTCTACATTCAGCTTATCAATTCTATTTTTATACAAGTCACGTGACACGCAGCTGATACATGCGATATAAATTGGTACTGTGTGCAGACCCAAACCTGTCCATTATGGATATCTATATAACCTTTCCTACATGTAAACAGTTACTTTGTTAAAAAGATTTTTAAAAGCAATATATTTTAAGAAGGTACTTAGATCGCATTTTCCATTTCCTTCCTTAACATAGCTGAGTAGCCGTAACTATGCTGCGCCACCTTATAATATCTCGTGCACTTCAAGGATGTTTATTACCTGTTTCCGTCTTTATATTATGGATAAGGCGTTACCCTAACTGAAATAAGGAATCCATTAAACTATTTTTCCTCAAAAAATAAAAATAATTATAGAATTTGAAAAAAATAATTAGATAGCGGCTAACTAATGAAATTTTAAAGATAAATGTTTCTTCTTCTACCTGCAGTACAGTCAATATAAAGCTGGAGGAGTAAAACATTCATCATCGATAATATATTGTGATTCATATAGGAGAGTGGCTTAACTCATTAATCTATATAATCCATTTTGTTGGATGAAAAGACTGTTCTTGCTTCACTGGTAGGATTGAATGACAGAAAAGCATTTGTAAGTTTCTACACAGGAAAAAAAAACTGTACGTAACTACTTTGAATCTGTGAAATATAAGTAGAAAATGGAAAACTATTTATCCTTCCTATATTTATTAATTTCAATTTATAAACACAAAGTATTTTGGTGTTTCTTGAAGTGAATAATCTTCATATGTCATACGCCAATGAATTTATTTCTAAAGGCAAATGCACCTTCTCCGCCCTTTTCTAAAGATACAAGGAATACAAAACCCAACACGGCGCCCTCTACTTCTACAACTTCTAGTGCATTGCGTATAATGGCAATTCCTCGAACATCCGACAACAGTATCGACAACTCCCAGCGAAAGAAAGCACAACAGAAGAAGCAAGACACACGTCTTCATCTGAAATATAAAATACAAGGAGATCACATCTATTCAAACTTTTGTCATTAAAAGCGTGACATAATATTGCCAAAACATAATGCAGAACGCTCCAACCTTGTTCATTTTTTTTTCTGTTTGGCAACAGCAAACATTTTGTCCTCTTATTTCCAAATGAGTTTATTTTACGTTTTAGAAAAAAAATTCTTTACTCTTAATGTTAAGTCAAAGTTTCAAAGTTCCTTCAAACGGTGTAACGAGTGTGTTGGGTAATATGTCCTATCTTTCTCTTATATCATGCTGCATTCCGATAATATTCTGTTTATATGTCCCACCACGTAACCTACTGACCACACATCAAATCAATATACGCCCTCCACGCGCCTTACTGTCCATATCAAATTCAATATTACATTTTATTTTCCTTTGAACTTGCAAGGAGTCTTATAAATGGCGTCACATAAAAATCAAACGACGTCACAATATAATCAATTAGTACAGAACCGTTTGCTTCGCTAAGAGAAATGAACTTTATCCAAAAACTTCCACGGGATAAATTCGCTATATAGAAGGGTAATCAGAAAATATATATCCTTACCTTAAAAATCAGGGTGATTCAGGAAAATAATGATACAACAGAGGTTCCAGATAAGGTTCTTCTTGTATAATGCAGACACCGTCTTTCCTTTATATGTATGAGACCAAGATATTTCATTGGCTTGACGTAGACAGACAGATTACATACCATCGTGAATTTTAATTTGAAAATCTTAATGAAATTCCAATTTCAATAAACACCTCTTTTGAACACATTTTATTGTAAATTCCTTTTTTTTATTCAAATGAATAATTTTAATTTAAGATGGATTTAAAAAAAAAGAATTAAAGATTAATGATCATACAAATATATTCTTCTGGTTTTCTTTACAAGAAAGAATATAATTGAATTTTCAGGGATATAAATATGTCATTTTGTCTACAAACACTGTGAATATTCTTTCAGTTTCTATAAAATTAAAAATTACAATCAACTATGTCAATTTGTTAGTAAGGGTTAAGAACTTCTATGTTTACTTCAGGGTAGGGTTCAGAAAATCAATTTTAATACAGATGATTCAGGATGAATAAATATAAGCTTTTTTTTCCCTAAACACTCAAATACTTTATTTTTTAATTAATAAAGTAAATTGATGTACAACGTATCTTGCCATTATGACATTAACAAAATATAAAATGATAGCTATTTGGTCTCCATGTACTAACTAAGATGTTTAATTTGAAACTCACAGGGGAGGCGTGGGTTAAACTATAATTGTAACTTATAAATATCAATGTTTATATAAAATAACTATCATCTTAACAGGTTGGAGACAATTTTTGAATGAATTCATCCATATTTTAAATATTTACTAAACTAAGAAAAATTTAGACCGAAAAAGGTGTAGATAACGAACAGTGATCTATCTCCAAAAATCTATGACAATACAAATCCGTGAACAGGACATAAAACACGGACCTCTGGAAAAGCCAGAGAATGGATCAGGTGCAAAGGAGGAGTACTGAAATATATGGAGATAACGAACAGTATTCAAGCTCAAACGTCCATTAAACAATACAAAATAGAAGCAGAGCAAACACGGACACCCAAAACATCAGAGGTGGGATCAGGTGCCATAGAGGAATGAGCATCCCCTGCCGACCGGTCACACCCGCCGTGTGCTCCTTTTCCTGATCGGGAAATAACGGAAATATCCGTCGACAATTCAGTGCGTAAATAATGGCCTAACAATTAGTATGAAAAATGTCAGTCAGCAATTGACTCAAAGATAAATTGTATTTGCTGACAAGGGCATTGTATCAACAAGTCAATGTGACAACAATGGCCTATCAGTCTGCATAAAAAAAAAAAAAAAAAAAAAAACGTCATTCAAAATTCCATTTAATGAAATTTTGCATTTGCTGACAAGGCAATTGCATCAACCAGAGAATTGTTGACTTTAAACAAGCTGTATTCATCACGGTTATCATAAAGTTCTGTTGTGAGGTTCCATTAACATCTTCTTTTCAATTAAAATATCTAAATATGAAACAGATGTGTGAGATTCTGTGTTATATATTATTTTCTAATTAAAAGGAATATATCAAATCAACATAGAAATAAAAATGAATATTGTTAATTGAAAAAAAAAATCATCGATGTATCTAAATATTGAACGAAAGTCATAGGAAGAAATTTCTTCTTTTCATGTAGAAGATTTTTTTTTCTAAATTCTTTTTTATATGAATACAAATAAGATATACTATTAACGGCGCAACTAGTACCCATAGGAAATCCGACATATTGTTGAAAGAGCTGGTCTCTAAAAAGCACAAAGATTGTCAATCAGAAACTCGATCATCTTTTTAATAACAACTTCGGAGTAATTGTGTGTACGATCGGAAAGTTTTATAACATTTCTTTTTAGCAAATGATCAGTGACAAGGTAGTTAAATCTACGATTTCCATTGATATTGAAAAATAAAACACTGCCTTTAATGTAAGAAAAAAAAGCCTGGATTTTAATTTATCGTGAAAAATGGTTCTACAAAGTGATGAAAAATTATTTTGATTTTATTAATTTTGATAAAGTTTTGTGATTTCAAATTTTCTAATAGTTCCTTGGAATTTGTAAGAGTCTGACTCGTGCACCATGCGTCAAACCCTGACTACTATAGTACATACAAAGCACAGCACTATAGTTGTTTATTATGCAAACTGTTTTATGAACACGACAGTTCAAATAAATTACTGTTTGCAAAGGTAAAATTTCTTTGATTAATTCTACTTACTTTCCTTTACTAAGATGTATACGATCAAGTGTTCTCAATATTCCCTAGACTCAGTTTGCGTATTGATGTGTAAACTGTAATGATTTAATTTTAGTTGTCACGGGTCATTTGATTGTATAAAAAAATAGTTTATATCGTACAACCTGTGTTGAAGACGTCACAATGACACGTCAAAAACGTATCAATCCGCGTGTCATTTAAAATACATGTATGTACAACTTGAAAGCGCGTTTGAAGGAGAACCTTTTTCTACACTTAATGATTGAAAATTAAATCATAAGGAATGAATTTAATTGCTACCCAAGTTATACTGCTTTAACCTGGTTTGGGACAGTTTACGGTTTGCGGTTTATAAAGCATAAACTGTCTCAACCCAGGTTATATGGTATAACTTGGGTAGTCTATTTATTACTTAAATAATCATAAGTACAAAATTATTTCTTATTTAAAACTGAATGTAGTGTTTGACCGTTTTTGTAATATTCACATGTCTTGAATATTGTTTGAAGCCTGGGGTGTTTAATTATTATTGAATATTAAAACTTTACTTCGATTAAATTCTCCAGATTTTATAATATAAGAATATAAACGTATTTAGAATTGAGTAAATTGAGTCTAAATAATTGTAAAATTATTATAATATAGTCGCTTACATACAAAAGACAACTTGAGTATGGCCTAATTCTTTATATTACCTGAAATCATTTTACAAATTTTAATGGTACCACCTTCCGCCTATAGGACTCAGTGCTTCACCTTTCAACACATGCCATAAATTTGGTGTAAGAAAGTATGCACCCAAATTTACTCACTTGCATTTGCTTAAGAAAGGTAAAAGCAATATGAGTAAATCAAGCATGTCCAATACTAACGTGAGGTCCATCTGGTTTCTTGGTTTTACAAATAAACTTTCAAACCAGGTAAATGTCTTCCTGGAGGTTCAAAAACATGCTATGACTTTTTTACAATGTATCTATACCTTGGGTTGGTTAGTAAAAGTCATTTGAATTTGTGTGGTCATGTTACGGAATTTGACCATATTTGAACTGTCAGATTGCATATGCATAACTTGTACATTCAGAATTACCATCACAGTTTAGGGGTGAGATCAAAGCATTCATGTCTGATATAAAAAAAAAAACAACTAAATCAAACAGAGTGGGGTGTCAAGAGAATCCAAACAAAATTTTTGTATACTGACATCATTAATAACAAGAAGTGCAAATTGTACATTAGACTTCATATTATTCGTATTTGAAATAAATCCTTTGAAAGAAAAAAAACCAAACCTAGTTATTTTCAGTGCTACATGTATTTTATTTATTTTCATTTTTTATGTTTCTATTTTTTTTGTGGGGCTAAGGGGATCAACACTGGTGGTACCACCTCTTGAGTCCGTAACTTATGCCCTATTCACAGATTTGGGTTAGGCTATTTTTTATCACTGCTTTTTTATTTACATCGATTCCATTCTTAATGCGTAGTAATTTTTTTTTTACATCATAATTATTTTCAATGAAAGATTACATTGCAAGATGGATGACAGTGTTTAGAGAAATATTCCTTTTGTTTGAAATGTTAATTAATCAACATTTGCAAATGTAAACAAATGCGTAAACTAATTTGTCAATTATTTTTAGAAGCCTATTCATTCATTCACTGTGGTAAATCTTGTTAGTCAAAAATTATATTTTTGGAAATTAACTCTTTTTAAAAAGATCTTCACTCTCTCCGTGACATCATTCCAGCTTCATAGAAATGTTAGCTTTTCCTTTAAGCATACGTACAGACAATCTGTCCAGTTGACACACGTAAACGCATACAATATGATCCTGTTTCTCGTATAGTAATTAATTTGAGGGACACAAAAACGTTCAATGCAATTTATTTATTTATTTTATAATTCATTCATTTTATTTATTTGTTTTATTTTGCAAAATGCAAAGGGCTCACATTTAAAACCAAGATTACATTTAAATAAACAATAAGTAAAATGAGAGACAAGGGTGAAATATGAAGATATCGAGTAGTAATCAAGCTCAAAAGTTCATTAGAACAATAAAAATTAGAAACATTAGAGTCGGGATGAGGTATCATTTAGGAAAGAGCACACCAACCGAGTGTTCCTTGTCATGATCGAGCAAATGGAAAAATCTGCAGACAATTAAGTTTGAAAATTATGGCCTTACGATTTGTATGAAAAACGGCAGTCAACATTTATAGGTCCCAAAATGAGAAAGTAAGAAAATATTTTTACAGATGTGAAGGCATCTCTGAATAATTTCAGGGCTAGAAAAAATGTTTTGTTGGTTAATAAATCATGAAATTTTAGCAATATTTAATTGAAAACAATTTGAGAAATTCGAAAAATAGGTGTTACTGTTCACTACAAACCGTCGTCGGCAACGATAAAGTTACTGGTTTCGATTTTGTAGGATAAACACTTATTATTAGATTCAAATAATTTAATTTACATAAAAGATTTTTAGATATTACTGTGAAAGACGAGGGTTGTCCCAAAATGTCGTAGACAGCTTAGGCGAATTAATATATTTATCCAAATAAAACCGATCCCGACCGGAATTATAGAAAGAAGAAAGCTACTACGATTTCATCATAAAATTTGATTGTTTTGTTTTAATACTGTTTACAAATTACCTGACTTATTTTTAAACATGTTTTCTAGGTGGTAATTACCATTAATTTGATTGCTCAATAATTTAATTTTTGCATTAATTTCGATCGGGATCGGTTTTATTTCAATCGGGATTGGTTTCCATATTAAAAATTAGAAATATTTTCTAAAATCAGCTATTCGTTGTATTTTATCATAAGAATATGTCTGTATTTTATTTCTTTTCTGTAAGTTACA